GATGTTATGTTAGGAAATCTTCTAATCTTTTGAATTATAGTAATTTATGAAAATAACAAATCATTCACAGGCTTTAGTACTTTATAATTAGTCACAAATTACTTGCAGTGCATGCCCTGACACACTAGACCTACCAGTGAGCATAGAGGTATGTGGTTGAGAAGTGCTGCCTTAACTTTGTTTCACAGACATATTAAAAAAAATACTTTGCCTTTTCTAGATGTCAGTTTCCTCATTTGTGAAATGAGAGGTTTAGACTAATGAATTACTGAAATGCTACGCTTGATGGAAGAAAAGAATGTTCGTTATCTGGGCTGGGCCCTGTGGCTCATTCATGTCTATAATCCGAGCACTTAGGGAGGCCAAGGTGGATGGATCACTTGAGCTCAGGAGTTCGAGACCAGCCTGGCCAACATAACAAAACCCTATCTCTACTAAAAATATGAAAATTAGCTGGGCATGGTGGCACGAGCCTGTAATCCCAGCTACTCGGGAGGCTGAGACACAAGAATTGCCTGAACCCAGGAGGTGGAGGTTGCAGTGAGCAGAGATTGCACCACTGCACTCCAGCCTGGGTGACAGAGCGAGACTCTGTCTCAAAAAAAAAAAAAAAAAAAAAGAATGTTCATAATCTTCTAGTGAAACCACCATGATTTGGGAGCATCTCTGTATATTCAGTATCCTTGATTTGGGTTCAGTTGTACCTGTCCATCCTACTATCCGTCCATCCTTGCATTCACTTGTACATTCATATATTCAACACCATTTTATTGTTTGCTATATGCCAGGCACCAGGGATATGATATTGAAAGGAGACTAGAGCCTGACCTGCATTACACTCCAGTAAAACAGTCACCAACCACAGCGATGGCAACCGTGGCTAGCGCTAGGTGGGCCTGTGAAAGAAACTGATCTGGGAGCCCAGGCCAGGGAGGCTGCCCTGAGAAGCAAAGAGTGGAGCTGCGACCTGGTGGGGAGCAGAGGGCTGCAGGCTCCAGGCAGATGCATGGCTGGGGAGCGTCTTGCAGGATGAGGCAGGAAAGGGAGGTTGGGGCCACAACCGAGAGCAAAGCGAAGCCACAGTGGGGTGACAGGAGCAGACTTTGATTTCTAAGCGGTTGCTCTGGCCGCAGCTGGCAGAACAGAATGAAGGGGGCCAGAGAGGATGGGAGAAGGGGCTGCTGCACCTGTTTGGGTGAGAGGCTGGTGCAGGTAGCCAGTACAGGGCAACAGGAGGCAGCGCCACAGGGCTCGATCTTGCTTTGCATCAGTGGCTCTTTGACCTTGGGTCCTGTCTTGAACTTCTTCGGGAAAATGTCCTCGTGTATGCAATGGGGCCACCCCTCTACCGGGCTGTTGTGTGGATTAAATGCAATAGTAACTGAAAAGTGCCCAGGCCAGGCGCAGTGGCTCATGCCTATAATCCTAACACTTTGGGAGGCCGAGGCGGGCAGATCACCTGAGGTCAGGAGTTACAGACCAGCCTGGCCAATATGGTGAAACTCCATCTCTGCTAAAAATACAAAAGTTTGCCGGGCGTGGTGGTGCATGCCTGTAGTCCCAGCTGCTTGGGAGACTGAGGCAGGAGAATTGTTTGAACTCAGGAGGTGGAGGTTGCAGTGAGCTGAGATTGTGCCACTGCACTCCAGCCTGGGTGACAGAGCAAGACTCGGTCTCCAAAAAAAAAAAAAGGCCCTGGCAAGGTCTGGCCTGAGTCAGTGTTTAATACATGGGAACTCTCCATCTTTATGGTTTTGCCAGTTCCTGAAAGCCTGGTCGTGCAAGGGCCATGTTTGTGTTTTCCGCAGCTGGCCTCCTTCCTCCCCTTAAGCATTGCACGCGTGTGTGTTTCCAGAACTATGCATTTAAGAACCCATCTGCGTCCCCATCATCTGCTCAGACCTTGGTTGTGGCAGACGACTCCCTGCCAGCCGCTGCCCATGCCTCTCCCTTCACTGTACTGTGAACATCTGGTCTGCAACGGAGGCTGTAGTCCCTGGGCCCTCCCTGACTTCCACACAGAGGCAGTGCCCCTGCAGGGTGAAAGGCTTCATTCAGGGTGCTGGCTGCCCAGTCCCCAGGGTGCTGGCCTGTGGATTCTGAGCAGAGCCTCTATCCACACATTTCAACTCAATCTTGAAGCATAAAAGGATGTTATGTAAGCTTCAATTAACGCAGAGCCCTCAACAGATCAGTTCTTAGAATTTTTCCTGCCCTTAGGCAAATCTGCTCCTGGTGAGCAGCTTTAATCTGGCTTTGAAAATTACTTCTGATGGGTAATCAAAGCGATTGCTAGTGCCCAGCTTATGCTACATAAACCAATGTCTGGGTTCTTATTTGGGAGGAGTTGTTGTGTATCCCATGCTCCATGGAAAATTTGTTCCTGGTTGCTCCCTGATAAGACCGCACAAGTTTGCAAGATGCCAAAATAGAATTTATCATCTTGTCCCAGATGTTAATGACTTCAGCCAGCCTGAAGGGAAGCCACATACTCTCCTAAGTAGACAGTTCCTGTCAGAGGCATGGACAAGAAAGTGGCTTCATTTATTTCCCGCTTGATAAAGCCGATATAAATAGGAGCACTTCATTTCTGAATTACACACCATTAATCTTATCACATACTAAACTGTTTGACTTCAGTTAGTGGGTGGGACATAATGAAATGTAAAGTGCTTTTTACAAGGAAAATTGCCAGGTTCAGATGCTGAGCAGCAAAGGGAGAGGGGGGAGGGGAGCAAGGGGGGGGCGGGGGAGGAGGCAAAGTCATTGGTTGGGGAGACATCGGGTTTCGTTCTGGACCTGGTGCTTTCCAGAAAGCCAGGCCAAGACACTTTACCCAAACCCCAAGTAGTTTTCCAGATGTCAGCCCACTTGGGCCAGGGCTCTCCATGGGCACGTGTGTCCTCCGTGACCATTTGTGAATTGGAGGGTTTTATATCATTTACCCTCTGAGTTTTCTCTTCTTTGAACTAGTCAGCTTCTTTTGGGTCAGAAAATGCAAATCTGGTTGAGACAGTAGCCAGCTCTCTTTTGGGTCCTCAGGCACCATCCCCATGTCCCATGTGCAGGAACAGCCATTAGATAAAGATGAGGGCAGGGGTGGTGCTGTGTACACACCTCCTTCAGGGATGTCAAATGACAGCGCATGTACTTCAGAGGTGAGGGGTAGGACAGAGAGGCTGGAATGGGGCTGGGGGAAGAGGCTCTTGCCTTCCTTGGAAGTTTTTATTTATTCTGCATAGCAGAGTGAGTAAGAAGATTGTGGCCAGTGGAATCAGATGTCCACGTTGAGATCCATGCTTAGCCTCTGTTCTCCAGGGTTCTCATCTGCAAGTGGCGATGAGATTGTCTTGAGGAATTTCTCTTGTTACTAGAATATATATAATCATAACAAGTATATAGAATCACAATTATGTAAAAATAACAAGAATTATATCCCCAAACAATTGTTTAGGAAAAATCAGGAAATTCACTAGAACTCTGAAAGTGGCAAGCATGTAGCAGTATTTTTTCTTATTTTTTTTCTACATTTTCCGAACTTTGTGTTGGCCACATATTATTTTTAAAATTAAAAAATGCACAGCATTGGCCGGGTGTGGTGGCTCATGCCTGTAATCCCAGCACTTTGGGAGGCCAAGGCGGGCAGATCACAAAGTCAGGAGATCCAGACCATCCTGGCTAACACGGTGAAACCCCATCTCTACTAAAACTACAAAAAAAAAAAAAAATTGGCTGGGCATGGTGGCTAGTGTATGTAGTCCCAGCTACTCGGGAGGCTGAGGCAGGAGAATGGTGTGAACCCAGGAGGTGGAGGTTGCAGTGAGCTGAGATTGTGCCGCGCTGCTGCACTCCAGCCTGGGCGACAGAGTGAGACTTGTCTCGGGGAAAAAAAAAAAGCGCAGCATTAAAACTGTGTAGAATTGAGCAACATAGTCCAAATAGAGTCCAAATACAGCAGTAATAAGCCGTTTTATAATAACTGGATAGTTAGTTCTGTGTAGCAAGTCCAAAATTTGGAGTCAAGTTCCCTCAAGTTCCCTGAGTTTCATTTTTTTCCCCACACATTACCCAGATAAATGTGTTCAAGTTAAGACAAACATGGGTATGAAGGTGATTCAGCTCCCAAGAGTTATACATAGGTCATGTGCAGAAATTCCATAGCCAAATAGAAATGATTTTTGGGTTATGCCTGTCACTGTCCCACCTGTTAAATGTGAAGAATCAAGTTAACTATTACCAGGAATCGCTCTTTATTTCAAAGCCTGGCTTTGCTGACTTGTGCTTTTTCCTGAACATCTAAGGATCCCCAGGGGTGCTGGGGACTGGCCTATAATCTTTGCAGGACTGGTTCAAATCCCTATTATGATTTATCCTTATTAACAACTTTCTGGGTTGTCAGCACGGTGGCTCACGACCATCATCCCCGCACTTTGGAAGGCTGAGGTGGGAAGATTGCTTGAGTTTGAGACCAGCCTGGGCAACATAACGAGAACGAATCTCTACAAAAATTTAAAAATTAGCTGGGCGTGGTGGTGCACACCTGTGGTCCCAGCTACTTGGGAGGTTGAGGTGGAAGGATTGCTTGAGCCGAGGAGGCTGAAGCTGCAGTGAGCTGTCGTTGTGCTGCTGTACCTCAGCCTGGGTGATAGAGCAAGACCCTGTCTTCAACAAACAAACAAACAAAACCTTTTTGGGTTTCCCACATTTTAGACTATAATAAATGAGTTGCCACATTTCTGTATTCACTGCTGACCAGCATGGGAGGTCTACACTGTGTCTGAGATGCCCTGCAGTGGTTTTTGGGGGAAACAAGGGCATGCATAATGGTTGTGGGAGGGGTACAGGGGGCTCCCACAGAGAGGAATGAGCTGCATGAAGATGCTGTGTCTGTGGTCTGGGCACTTGGTGGCCTTTTGTGGGGATGGTGGGGGGTGACCTGCCTGCAGTGTGGCTCTGTCCTTGGCATCCATGATAACCAATGAAACATTAAATGTTTTCAGGGTTGGCAGCGTTGGGCTTGGAGGCTTCTGCACTGCTTCTGAGAGTTCTGCCAGCCTGGATCCATGCCTTGCGTCCCCAGAGGTGACTGAACCAAGGAAGGACCCACAGAGAGCCAGGGGGCCAGAAGGTTCTTTACTGTCCAGCCCACCACCACCCCAGGAGCGAGAGCACCCCTCGTCCTCCATGCCCTTTGCCGAGTGTCCCCCAGAAGGTTGCTTGGCAAGTCCAGCGGCGACACCTGAAGATGGTCCTCAGACTCAGTCCCCCAGGAGGGAACCTGCCCCAAATGCCCCGGGGGAGGTCACGGCAGCATTTCCCGCTGAGAGGGACAGCTCTACTCAAGACCAAGAGGTTGCTGCCATCCCCAGTGCTGGAAGAGAGAGAGAACCGAAGGAAGAGAGACAGAAATCCTCCTTCTCCTTCTCCAGTGGCACTGACCAGTCACCTGGAATGCCACCAGTACCCCTCACAGAGCCAGTGAAGGCACCGCTGTGTGGAGAGGGGGACCTGTGTGGAGAGGGGGACCAGCCTGGTGGTTTAGAGTCCCAGGGGAAAGAGGTTGCAGGTGGCTTCCCCCCTGCAGAGTCCAGGCAGGGGGTGGCTTCTGTGCAAGTGGCCCCTGAGGCCCCTGCTGCAGCCCAGCTGGGCACAGAAAGCTCAACTGTCTTGGAGAAGTCCCCGCTAAAACCCGAGGCCCTGATCCCACAAGATCCAGCCCCAACAGCCTCAGACAGAGTAACAGGCCAAGGGGAAGTGCCACCTCAGTATTTAACAGATGACTTGGAATTCCTCAGGGCCTGCCATCTCCCTAGGAGCAATTCAGGGGCTGTCCCAGAAGCCGAAGTGAATGCCACTTCCCAGGAGAGCTGCCAGCAGCCAGTGGGAGTACATCTGCCACACACAGAGTTGCCCCGGGACTCGCCAAGTCCTGCCCTGGTGCCAGGGGCTGGGGGCTCTGGGAAAGAGGCTTTGGACACCAGTGATGTTCAGGGTCACCCACAGATAGGGATGCAAGGAACCGAGCCCAGTCAAGTTGTCTGTGTGGCAGCAGGTGGCCGACCTGAAGGGGGTTTGCTTGTGAGCCCTGAACCCTCCCTGCTCACTCTGACTGAGGAAGCACATCCAGCTTCCAGCCTCGCTTCACTCCCAGCTGCTCAGATTCCTATTGCCATAGAAGGACCTGGATCACTGTCCAGGGAGTCAGTTTCCAAGGCCGGGATGCTAGTTTCTGCAGATGCAGCCAAAGAGGTGGTGGATGCAGGGTTGGTGGGACTGGAGAGGCAAGCATCAGATCTTGGAAGCAAGGGAGAGCATCCAGAAGGGAGCCCTGGAGAGGTTCCTGCCCCATCACCCCAGGAAAGGGGAGAACACTCGAACATGGAGCAAAGCCATGTAGTCCAACAAGGAGTACCACCCCCTCCTCTTCCCAATGCACCAAGTGAAAGTGCCAGAGGGCCACTGGGGCCAAGGGATGGAGCCAAGGCCCATGAAGATGCCACAAGCCCAGCCGTGGCTAAAGAAGGAAGCAGATCACCTGGTGACAGCCCTGGAGGAAAGGAGGAAGCCCCAGAGCCGCCTGACGGTGGAGACCCAGGGAACCTGCAAGGAGAGGACTCTGAGGCTTTCAGCAGCGAGTGTGATCCGGAAGTAGGCAAAGATGAGCTTTCAAAGCCAAGCAGTGATGCAGAGAGCAGAGACCATCCCAGCTCACACTCAGCACAGACACCCAGAAAGGGGGGTGCTGGGCACACGGACGGGCCCCACTCCCAGACAGCAGAGGCCGATGCATCTGGCCTACCACATAAGCTGGGTGAGGAGGACCCTGTTCTGCCCCCTGTGCCAGATGGAGCTGGTGAGCCCACTGTTCCCGAAGGAGCCATCTGGGAGGGGTCAGGATTACAGCCCAAATGTCCTGCCACCCTTCAGAACAGGGAAGGATTGGGAAGAATGGAGCCTTTCCTGACTTTAGAACCAGAAAAATCAGATTTTCTGCCAACTCCTGTTGCAGAGGTTGCACCCAAAGCCCAGGAAGGTGAGAGCACATTGGAAATAAGGAAGATGGGCAGCTGTGATGGGGAGGGCTTGCTGACATCCCCAGATCAACCCCATGGGCCGGGGTGTGATGCATCGAAACAGGAATTTCATGCTGGGGTGCCGCATCCCCCCAAGGGGGAGAACTTGGCAGCAGACTTGGGACTCACGGCACTCATCCTGGACCAAGATCAGCAGGGAATCCCGTCCTGTCATAGGGAAGGCTGGATAAGAGGAGCTGCATCCGAATGGCCCCTACTATCTTCTGAGAAGCATCTCCAGCCATCCCAGGCAGACCCAGAGGCATCAATCTCTGACGTGCTCAAGGAGCAGGCCCAGCCACCTGAAAATGGGAAGGAGACTTCTCCAAGCCATCCAGGTTTTAAGGACCAGGGAGCAGATTCTTCCCAAATCCATGTACCTGTGGAACCTCAGGAAGATATGAACTTGCCCACTCATGGAGGACAGGAGCAGGCTTTGGGATCGGAACTTCAAAGTGGACTCCCCAAAGGCACCCTGTCTGATACTCCAACTTCATCCCCCACTGACACGCTTTGGGAGACTTCTCCAACAGAAGATTCAGAATTGTCAGCACCAATGAGACAGAAGTTGCCTGTACTAGGGGAGAAGCGGCCAGAGGGAGCATATGGTGATGGTCAGTTCTCAAGGGTCTCACCTCCAGCAGCAAATGTCTTAAAAGACTCTTCTCTTGCAGGGAACTTGAGCAGAAAGGAAACTTGCTGCACTGGGCAGGGGCCAAACAAGTCTCAACAGGCGTTGACCGATGCCTTGGAAGAAGGCCGCCAGCATGAAGAAGCATGTCAAAGGGATGCAGGAGCTTCTGAAGCAGCTGATGGTTGTTCCTCACTCTGGGGCTTGAGTAAGAGGGAGGTGGCAAGTGGAAACACAGGGGAGGCTCCACCTTGTCAGCCTGACTCAGTAGCTCTCCTGGATGCAGTTCCCTGCCTGCCAGCCCTGGTGCCCGCCAGTCCCGGAGTCACACCCACCCAGGATGCCCCAGAGACAGAGGGATGTGATGAAACCCAGGAAGACAGGCAGCAACCAGTGCCGGCCCCGCAGCAGAAAATGGAGTGCCCGACCACTTGGGATGCAGAGGCCCCAGAGCTGCTTGCAAGTTTCCCATCAGCTGGGGAGCAAGGTGGTGAAGCGGGCACTGCTGAGACTGGTGGCAGCGCCAATGCAGGAGACTCAGGAAAGCAGCAGGCTCCAGAGAAACCCGGAGAAGCTACTTTGAGAGGTGGCTTCCTTCAGACTGAGCACTACCTTACCTCCGGGGAGGAAACTTCTACCTCTGCCCTACGTGAGCCCTGCCAAGCTGAGCAGCCCACGGCCAGCTGCCAGGATGCCTTGCTGCTAGCCAGAGAGCTGGATGAGATTCCCAGGAGCACCATGGATATTTCTACACACCAGGCTGTCCCAGACCCAAAGGAGTTCCTGCTGTCTGGGCCACCAGAAGTGGCTGCTCCAGACACCCCTTACCTGCATATCGACAGTGCTGCCCAGAAAGGAGCAGAAGACAGTGGAGAGAAAGCTGTTTCCTCTGCAGGCCCCAGAGCTCCTGGCGAAAGCCCCTGTCCTGTAGGGGAGCCCCCGCTTGCCTTGGAAAATGCTGTCTCCTTGAAGCTGTCTGCTGGCTCCCTCGCCCCCCTCTTGCAACCAGGAGCTGAAGGTGGGGAAATCTCTGCAGTGCAAGCCAGCAGTGGCAGCCCCAAAGCCAGAACCACTGAGGGACCTGTGGACTCCATGCCATGCCTGAACCGGATGCCACTTCCGGCCAAGGGCAAGCAGGCAACAGGGGAAGAGAAAGCAGCAACAGCTCTGGGTGCAGGTGCCAAGGCCAGCGAGGAGGGCTTGGCAGGTGATGCAGCAGGAGAGACAGAGGGCAGCATGGAGAGGATGGGAGAGCCTTCCCAGGACCCAAGGCAGGGCACATCAGGTGGTGTGGACACAAGCTCCGAGCAAATCGCCACCCTCGCTGGCTTCCCAGACTTCAGGGAGCACATTGCCAAGATCTTCGAGAAGCCTGTACTCGGAGCTGTGACCAAACCTGGAGAAAAGGCAGGAGCTGGGATGAGTGCAGTGGGTAAAGACCTCACCAGGCCATTGGGCCCAGAGAAGCTTCTAGATGGGCCTCCAGGAGTGAATGTCACCCCTCTCCCTGCACCTCCTGCTCGACTCCAGGTGGAGAAGAAGCAAGAGTTGGCCGGAGAGGCTGAGATTTCCCGTCAGGCTCTGCAGGATCCAGCTTCAGACAAGCTTCTGGGTCCAGCAGGGCTGACCTGGGAGCAGAACTTGCCAGGTGCCGGTGTGAGGAAGGAGATGGCAGGTGTCCCACCCACACTGAGGGAAGATGAGAAGCCAGAGGGACCTGGGGCAGCCTGGCCAGGCCTGGAAGGCCAGGCTCACTCACAGCCGGAGAGGAGCAGGCAGGAATTAGCTTCAGGTCTTCCTTCACCAGCAGCTACTCAGGAGCTCCCTGTGGAGAGAGCCGCTGCCTTCCAGGTGGCTCCCCATAGCCATGGAGAAGAGGCCGTGGCCCAAGACAGAATTCCTTCTGGGAAGCAGCACCAGGAAACATCTGCCTGCGACAGTCCACACGGAGAAGGTGGTCCCGGGGACTTTGCTCACACAGGGGTTCCAGGACATGTGCCAAGGTCCACCTGTGCCCTGGAAGCCCCTTCTCCCCAGGGGGAGGTTTCGACTGTGCCTGAGGCCAACAGTGAGCCCAGGACCCTTGACACACTTGGGGGTGAAAGGAGGCCCGGAGTCACTGCTGGCATTTTGGAAATGCAAAATGCCCTGGGCAACCAGAGCATCCCTGCACCACCAACTGGAGAAGTGGCAGACACTCCCCTAGAGCCTGGCAAGGTGGCAGGCGCTGCTCGGGAAGCAGAGGGTGACATCACCCTGAGCACAGCTGAGACACAGGCATGTGTGTCCGGGGACCTGCCTGAAGCAGGTACTACGAGGGCGTTCTCTATTGTGGCTGATGACTTGGCACTGCCAGGAAGCTGTCAGGACGCAGCCTGCTCTGACAAGGCTCAGGGGATGGAGGGTACAGCTGCTCTTCATGGGGACAACCCAGCCAGGCCCCAGCAGGCTGAGGAGCAGCCAGGGCCTGAGTGCCCCATTCCAGCTGGGGACGGGAAGGTGCGCATCTCCTCACCTCCAGAACCTGATGAAACTCGTGACCCAAAGCTGCAACATTTGGCTCCAGAAGAGCTCCACGCTGACAGGTACTTAAATGGAAAAATTCCCACGGGAATGTGTGGTCAGTTTCAAAGGTGATTCCCAGCCTGAGGTTTAGAAGTCAGTCGCATAGGCGAGTTGTTTTCTAAAAGCTGAGTTTTCCATATCTATTGCTAAATGAACCTGCTTACCCCCTCTGGATGTCCTGAGGCTCTGAAAAAGATGAGAACCATGGTTGGAGGCTGGGAGTTGTTGACTATGTTCCTTTTCTTGTGTTCCTTAATTCATCTAACTTAAACCACTGGAAAAGTATCAACTGTTTACTGACTGGCTGTGCACTATTAGGTGATAGGTTATAGTCAGTCATATGTTTTTCTGGAGTCCAGATACATCTGCTTTTGAATCTGGATTTATTTAGGCAGGGGGTCCTTTATCCTAGGGATTTTTTTTGTAGTAGCCACTTAAAACTTTAATTGGGAAATCTGCTTTTTCAGTAGGACATGGGGAGAAATGCCCTGCTATCTACAATATCCTATCAATTGCTTTCTTTCATTATCCCAGAGAGAGCCCCAGGCCTGGCCCATCCATCTTACTTTCGGTTCCTAAGAAGGATGCTCCAAGAGTCTTGGATAAAGTTACTTCAGATGAGACCAGAGGTGCAGAAGGAACAGAAAGGTCAGTGAAAGATATTGGTCTTTGGAAGGCCATGGTGGCTTCCTTAGATATAGGCACACTGGATGTTTTGTAAAGGAGAGTAGTCCTTATACAGCACAAGTTCTTACATAAGAAAGAAGCAAATGGCCATTCCCATTTTATGTACAGGTACAGCAGTACCTGGGATGACTAAAAGCTCCGTTGTTGGAAAAGGGATTGAATGAGTTGCTTTCATACTTGAGTTTAATTGATTACCTTAAATTTAAAAAGTCAGTCTGGGCACGGTGGCTCACGCCTATAATCCCAACACTTTGGGAGGCCAAGGCAGGAAGATCACTTGAACCCAGGAATTTGAGACCAACCTGGGCAATTTGGTGAAACCCCATCTCTAGAAAAAATACAAAGATTAGCCGGGCACAGTGGCATGTACCTATAGTCCTAGTTACTTGGGAGGCTGAGTTGGGAGGATTGATCGTTTGAGCACAGAAGGTGAAGGTGCAGTGACCCATGTTTGTGCCACTGCACTCCACCCTGGGTGACAGAGACCCTGTCTCAAAAAAGAAAAGACTCTTTATTGAGATGCAATTCACATACCATATAATTCACTCATACAATTCAATGGCTCGTAGTATATTCACAGTGTGTAACCGTGGCTACAATCAATTTCAGGTTATTTTCATCCCCACAGAAAGAAACCCTACAGCCCCTAGATATCATACCCCAGCCCCACACCCGCTGCATCATCTCTAGGCACCCGCTCATCTAGGTCATTACGTCTTGATGCAAATGGGTTCAATGCTGATTTCGTCTGAGAAGCAGGAATGGCTCACCAACAGCAGTCACACTCCAGGAGATCTCGAGATGCAAGGAGTGTAAATGTAACCATGAACAAGTGACCTTCGCACTTGCAGTGTGCCTGCGTGTTCTTTTCTACGGGAAATGCCACCTAGTGTTGTGCAGAAACTGCTGCTCAAAGTTTCATCCTTTTGGGGAGATGGAGATATTGTGCACGTACACAGACACACAGTGAACAAGCTTTCCGCCTCCCTAGGCCTTTGGCTGTTCTGGTGCTGTGTGTGCACACACATACACACGCATATACACTTGTGTGTATGAGTAGGGTGGAATCAGACTTTAAATTAGTACCTGTGTACCCTACCAAACAGCTGCAGGCATTTTATAAATGATCTGATTCATATTTTGCACATTTGGAAAGAATGCACGATCACCTGTTTTTCGAGTCTGAACACTTCCACTGACACCCAGCTGCCTCTGCTGCCTGTCAGTAGTGACTCTCATAGCTCCGAGCCAATGTGGATGTGGGCGTGTGCTGGCCAAACAGATGCCAGTTTAATCTGCATTTGACACCCTTTTCTGCTACTGACTTAGGGTACAATTTCCTGCAGCCTTTGCTGTTATGTATTTTTTATATTCCCAGTTCAGGGGCAGGAGAAATATCTGTCTAGCTTGGAAAAGTCTTCCCCACCCCAAAAATGACCATATCAGGGCCTTCTTTTTCAGAGTCCTTAGACATGTTAGCACCTTCTTGGAGAACGCAGGACCAGACATATAGCAGTACAATAAATACTGTACTCATTGTTTTAATTACTTTAAATTGTACAATTAAAATTTATAAAGTAGTGTTATAAATTATCATTTTTTTCCAGAATACTTGTGAGGTATAGAAAAGTAGATAGAGAAGGGCCGGGCAAGGTGGCTCACGCCTGTAATCCCAGCACTTTGGGAGGCCGAGGTGGGCGAATCACGAGGTCAGGAGATTGAGACCATCCTGGCTAACACGGTGAAACCCCATCTCTACTAAAAAATACAAAAAATTAGCTGAGTGTGGTGGCAGGCACCTGTAGTCGCAGCTACTCGGGAGGCTGATGCAGGAGAATGGCGTAAACCCGGGAGGCGGGGCTTGCAGTGAGCCCAGATCGCGCCACTGCACTCCAGCCTGGGTGACAGAGTGACACTCAGTCTCAAAAAAAAACGAAAAGTAGATGGAGAAAAATTCACAACCAGAATACCTACCAATTATTATTTCGTATTTTAGTATATTTTCTTTTCTTTTTTTTTTTTTTTGAGATGGAGCCTTGCTCTGTCGCCCGGGCTGGAGTGCAGTGGCCGGATCTCCGCTCACTGCAAGCTCCACCTCCCGGGTTCACGCCATTCTCCTGGCTCAGCCTCCCGTGTAGCTGGGACTACAGGCACGCACCACCTCGCCCGGCTAGTTTTTTGTATTTTTTAGTAGAGGCGGGGTTTCACCGTGTTAGTCAGGATGGTCTCGATCTCCTGACTTTGTGATCCGCCCGTCTCGGCCTCCCAAAGTGCTGGGATTACAGGCTTGAGCCACCGCGCCCGGCCTATATTTTCATTTTAGCAGATTTTCAGTGCCACCAAAACACTCTTTAATGTCTTTAGTGCTGTCAAAACTCTTTAAAAACAAATCCTTAAAAAAATTATTTATTTATTCACGTATTTATTTATTTTGAGACAGGGTCTCACTCTGTCACACAGGTTGGAGTGCAGTGGCACAATCTCTGCTCAATGCAGCCTCGACCACCCCAGGATCCTCCCACTTCAGCCTCCCTAGTAGCTGGGACTACAGGTGTGTGCCACCATGCTCAGCTTATTTTTAATTTTTTGTAGAGATGGAGTTTCACCATGGTGCTCAGCCTAGTCTTGAACTCTGGGCTCAAGCAATCTTCCTGCCTCCACCTCCCAAAGTGCTGTGATTACAGGCTTGAGCCACCATACCCAGCCTAGAAACAGATCTTCATGGCTGAAGTTGCGTGACTGATTATGGTGTTAACAGCAGTGGAAATTTAGGTTCTGATGGTGTCCAATTCACTTTGTTCCTGCTGAGACTTTTGTACTCTCTAGAGCTGCTCGGTCTAGTATAGCAGCTCCTGGCTACGTGTGGATGGAGATGTGCTGTAAGTGTAAAATACATACCCAATGTTGAAAATTAGGATGAAAAAAAGAAAATACATCACTAGTAATTTTGAATATGTTAATTATATGCAAAACAATATTTTGGCTCTATTGGGCTAAAATATCTATTGGGCTAAAATTAACTTCACTTATTTCTTTTTTTCTGTTTTTCTAATGTGGCTCCCAAAATTTAAAAAATGTCATATGTGGCTTTTGAATACCTGGCTCACATTCTATTTGGATCATTTGCCTCCAGAAGCTGCTTTTCCTTGGTCTTTGAAGGAAATGGGGTTGTAAAAAATTGCCGTTCCCTGTACTTTGGGCTCTTGGGGAAAAGGCTTCCTAACATTGGTTGAGAGTTTTTGGAAAAAATTCAGACTGGACTCTCATCCAGCCTGCCAGGTTGGGAATGCTTCTTCCTCTTGAGGCGGAGGCTCTGAACTTCGTGCTTGTGAACCCATCCACCATGAGGAAGCCGTGTCCGTGGACCTGGACAGGTCTCGGAGGAAGTCCTGCCAGGCCAGGGGCTGTACTTCCTGGGAAGGGCAGGTGTTGTCTTTGATGGTGACAGTCAGCAGCGGTCTGGGGGAGGTTGGGTGGCCAGACTTCGGTGGACACTGCCAGAAGCTGTGGTGGCAATGAATTTCAGGGACAGGTGTCTGAATTCACACCCCAGCTCTGCTCCTTACTAATTACATACCTAACCTCAGTTTGTTCGTCTGTAGAATGGGGATGACAACAGTTGTACCTGCCTCGAAGAATTGCCATGAGGGTTAAATGAGATCCTTGATTCAAGTGCCAGAGCATGCCCGTTCTGGTGCCCAGTGGGTGTTAGATTCCCTGTTGTTTTGTGATGGTCATTTCTGGTGCAGCGACCTGCATGATTATATCTCTCTTCAGTGTGGAGATGGTTTTGGGATCTCGTTCTGTTCTCCTGAGGTTGAAACTTCAACCTGGCTGTCTTTCTTTCCCAGTGTTGAATTCTTTCTCTGCTAAAATATTTCAATGGCTGAGGAGAGTGAATTCTTTCATACCTCCTACTGCACAGCCCAGAGTGATCTGCTACAAGTTAAAATTTTGAGATTGCGTTTCATTGTAACACTCTGAGTATCTTTGTGTACCATATTATATTGTATTTCACCATCAAAATACTATTTCAAGTTACCTCCAGAAGAACAAAGCAAAGCAAAACCAGGTTTTCTATTATCTTGCTAGTTGTCAGGTGATATGCTTCTGTGGATTGAATTTTGAAGATTCTACCTATTTGAATAGGGTATCAGCCTAAGAAATGTGTGTTTTTCTATTTTGGTGACAGGCTAGTTTGATGACCCAATCTCATACACATGTCCAGGAAGATAGCATAAATTTGTTTAGTGCTTTATTGTCCATCTTATGAAGTCAAATTGGCATTGCTAATGGATGTGGCATGGATATCCCATGGCTTTGCCTACCTCCAGCCCTACCTCATACCCATGGGGGTCTGTGTGTCCCACACTCTGAGAAGCAGGCACTCACAATGTACAGAAATGTATAGAATGGAACGTAAAGAGACTGGCTGTGCATTTCTGTACATTGTATGATCCTCCCTGTGGAAGAGCCTGAGACTTAGAGACAGCCTCATGTTAGTTTCAGGTTGTTCTGCAGAAGATGCTTGAATCAATTTCACCTATGTACAGATACAACTATCTTCCCTGTTAGTGGGAAGTCTAGAATTTGGCATTTTGGTTATATAGCACTAATGTTCAGACATGTAGTTCTGGATTAATCTTGGATATCACCAAGCTTGTTGTTGCTGAATATGTATTTAAAAGGAGTCTTTCTTTCTCTCTCTCTCTCTCTCTCTCTCTTTTTCCATTTAAGGAAATGGTTGGAAAGGTATTTTCAAGTATTAGTGGATTTTAAGAGAATTAAATTGTTCCCAGATGCTTAGGGTCTTTGTGTAAACCTAGGCTGAATGTGGAAGGGCAATTGGGTTGAAAAGTGGAGGGAGGGAGGACAGAGAGGACAGCTGGCCTCCCGTCAAGGAAGCCCTGGCTGGACCTGAAAGCCTCACTGGAGCCGCTGCTCTCTCTTCCTCCCACGCC